TTAATCTTTCTTCCCCTATCATCATCTTTACTTTTATCGGTATCCTCATCCTCCTCTTTGTCTTTACTTTTATGTTTATCATTTTCTTCATCTACATATTCCCCTTCACCCTTGCCATTATATATGTATATCGCTAGATAGATAGATAGAATGTTAGAGGCTGTGCACTGCGACCTTAGGTCTATTGTGCCCTTCTGTATATCGCTAGCTTAGAGTGCAAAGTTGCTAAGTCCATTTTTTTCAATTGTACAGGAGGCACAAAAAACGTTCCTAAGTAATTTTCTTTAAGTATTTTGCAAAACTTTGAATGCAATGTTTCGCGTTTTTCATTTATCCGTCATTAAAAAAATAATAAAAAAGAAGTCTGCTTTTTTACAAATTTTGTAGACAATTTTGTGACTTAGCAAATTTTCTACTTTTTTCTTAAAATTTTTTTTGTTGGACTTAGCAAATTTTCCATGAATTTTTCCAATATGTACAATACGAAAAATCCATCTCGTAGGTACATTTTAAGAAACAATTTATTAGAACAAATTGTTGAGGTTCTTTTAATAATAATAATAACACAAGGGAATAGTGATTTTGTTGCATCAAATGCTAAAGCTGTTTTTAATAGACTTTTTTATGCTGATTACTATAAGTGACCATCAATTCATGGTAATCGAGAACGGAGACCAAATGCTGTATTTCTACTAAGCATTAAATGGCAAAAATGGCAAAGTAGGGCATTAAAAAATAATCGTGTCATTACATTACAAAAATAGTCATTAAATTCATTTCCACGTGGCATTTTTTTAAATGGCATACATTTTTTGTCATTTCAGTGCCTAGTGGAAATTCGGCATAACACAATTAAAATTAAAGAAACGCACCCGAATTCCACTACCTCAAAATTAAATTTTTTCACAACACTTCAATTACTCATTAACACGCAATTTATCAAACCTCTTTTATTAAAAAACCAACTTTAACGCCTGCGCGTTAATTCTTCAATTGCAATGTGCGAACTTTTACTTTAAACACCAGCAAAACATTTTGGCGTTGCATATTTATAGGTGCAAAAATGCGGTGGCCAAATTGCACATACAAAGGTGACATTAAAATGCACATTCTAGCCACAACGACAGCCAGCGAAACAACCTGTTTGCGGAATTATAATTTTTTTTTTGGTGAGTGTACATTAGGGTGGTCCAAAAAAAGTAAAGTCGGAATTTTTACGCTCTCACCCCCCAGGATTGTTCTATACCGGAAAAAATAGACCTCCAGTTTTTATTTTGAAATCAAAAAATATTTAGAGGCCGCTCAAAGCGCTCAAAGTTTTCCATGTATTTTATATGGCGAAAAAACAACTTTTCGTAGAAATGGTAGCGAGCTCTTTAAAATCCATATTTTTCGTTCGAAAAACTCTGGTTCTCTTCAGGACACTTGCAATAACAGTACCCAATTGTTTATTTAACCATTTTTTTATTACTAACGATTTTTAATTTGTTCCCCCATTGCATTTTCTGGCATTTTCTAGGGGTTTGGCTTGGACTTATAAAATATAGTTACTATGAAAAAATTGTTAAATAAATAATTCGGTATTATTATTGAGAATCTCCTGATCAAAGTTTTGCCTTCGACTTATATTGCGTTTCGAGAATTCTATACCATTTCTATGAAAAGTGTTTTTTCCCCATATTAAATACATGGGAAAATTTGAGCGCTTTTAGTGACCACTAAATATTTTTTGATTTCAAAATAAAAAAATACGGGTATATTTTTCCGGTATAGAATAATTCTAGGGGGTGAGAACATAAAAATTCCGACTTTACTTTTTACCCTAGTGTACACACACATATGTGTACCAGCGGCCTGCACGATTACATATATTGGCATCGTACGAGTACGTTACCTGTATTACTCGCTGAATCAGCATCGCCGATTACACACTGTAGGGATGCTAAAATGACACACACAAAAACGACTAGACACGTCAACTTAATTTTGGGTCGTAGATTACGGATCTCTATAACGTTTTTCTAGATCAGTAGCTCGTTTCTGTAACGTTTCTCTACCGATTATATCTCTTCTGGTAGAGAATATGCGTCATTATTTACTACTCGTTGGCAATAGAGAACAGGGCGGCGAATTCATACATATCTAAATTCGCCTTGGTAGAGAATTGTTACGGAACCGGTAATTCTCCCAAGATATTTTTATTTTAGGTTTGCATTGTGAATGAAAAAAATCAAACCTTAACATGAAAATATGTACGAGCACGGCCATGTACGACGTAGGCTATGAGTAACGTTATTTCCTGCTTAGATTTCATACAATAAATTATTGCACATTTGCATTTGACTATTCCACACTTGTTTATTTATTCATCGATTTTCATTTTTAATTTTTTAACTCTTTCTTGCTAACATTTGATTTTTTTTTTTTAATTCAAATATCTTTGGAGAAAATTACCTGATCTGGAAAAATGATATACAGATCCATAATGTACAACCGAAAATTAAGTTCACGTCTCGGGATTTTTTTTTTTTTTGTATCCTTGTTATGTAACCGTGCAGCTCTCTAGTGTGCACATTACTGTAAAACCACTACAAAGACATAAGACAAATGCCATTGTACCTTTTCTTCGAAATTACACATGAAAATAGCAACGGGAAAAGAACGAATAACAAAGCAGTCGCCTTTACATGAAAAGAAAAATAATATCGGTGCGCCTACCCAGCAGGGAAATCGTAAAATCTTGGGTTAAATTTCTGAAGCAGTTGTAGGAGGATTTCACCATACATACCTCTAACTATTTTTGTATGTTGTGTTAAAATTTCGTAGCTGTATTGATTACCAGTATCTCATTAAAAAAAATGTGTATCCATTTTTACTATGGCAGTAAATGTCATACCACGTGTGAGGTGGGTTAGAAAAATACCATTTATTTTGGTTACCCTGCCTCAATTTAGTTAGAAAACACTTCAAAAGCTTTGAAGTAAATCCGCACAAATTCGATACAATTAAAAAATTTCCTTCAAGGTACATGTCGCACCATTGCGCCCATGCACGCGCCTTTTATTAAACATTCGGAGGCATGAATACCCTGCAGGGAAAGCTACTAGTTGTGAACTAGAATTCTACCGGTTTGCGTTTCAGCTGAACTACTTCACGTTCTATCCTTTTTCAATCTTAGCGACTGGTATTTTTAACATTGCGATGTCTTACGAGATGTCAATTGTCAGGCTATGCATCAGCATTTACTAGTATAAATACTAGTAGCATCATACCAGTTGATGAGATAGTCTGCCAATTCATGCCCCTTGAAAAGCATAAGTGTGCCTTTTTGCCCGCGACGCTCCAGCAGTCACAATGGCCGACAGAGCAAAGCACTCGCGTGGTAAGTCTGAGGTCCCAGTTTCAAATCCTGGCGCAGGGAAAATTTTTTTATTTCCTATTTTTTATTTTAATTTTTATTTTTATAAATTTATTTTTTTGTTTATGGTGTTTATTGTAATTTTTAAATTGAATGAAAAAATATTTTTGTTTAATTTGTTTGTTTTTATAGCACAAGCATTTCTTCCTAAATGTTTTTTTTTTTGCAATGCAATAGATTTTCAAATTTGTTATTTATTTATAAATTGAATAAATTATTTTTACTTATATTTATTTAACTTTAAAAATCTTAACCGCCTCCAAGCGGCCTCAAACCTGCGATTTCAGAACCAGAACCAGTAGTTTTCACGTGACGCCACAGCTGACATTTGTAAGAAAAGCAATTAATTGCGTTTTATTTTTGGCTTTGGCAATTCAAAGGTAGATGTCGCTGATCGCCTAAGTTCTTTGAAATTGTCGAACTGGTAGGCACATAGTACTAGTTAATGAACTAGTATTTTTTCTAACTGGTTTGGCTTTTCACTGCAGGATAGCTAAAGGAAGGGTATGTAGCATTAAATTGTTTGTCGTGCTGCTGAAATGAAGTAATTGAAACGAAATATTTACATAAATCTGTGTGTTGAATGCGGTGAAAATGTGAAAATGCCAACTTATTCTAATGACTTTCCACTTTAAGCACACCTGCCTTTGCCAAATATGCATTGGGAAAATCTAATCTGCTTTTACGTTTGGATAATTTGCTTTGTCTACGTGCCAAAAACGTCTTCATAACGATGATTCAACCAATTCTTTTTACACTTTGTATACCTTCATTTGGATTAGCTGAAATTCTATGTTTATTTACTTAGCTTAAGATTTCATTTCATTTGTAACGCTCACGTATCTTAAATACCAAATAGTAATGAAGCAATGAAAATGGTGCTCAATTACGTTATTTAGTTAACGGGTTGGACCAAATTTTGAATATCTCTTAGTCCTGTGGCATTGTCATTGTGACTTCTAAATTGCGGGTATATATGGGGCGTTCCAATATTTTTGTTTATAAGCATAATTTTTTTTAGTTTTTTTTTCATTTGGGTTCACTGAATACTGAGGTACTGACTACAATAGCGCTTATGCTAATTATACTCCACTCAAACATTAAAAAGCTCTGGCTATTAATTTTTTTATTATCTAATTTTTTTATTTTTTTTTTAAACTTAGTTTATTCCTTAACAAAAACCATAAAAACCCAAAGGGTTTAAGAATGCAGTTTTATAGCCCAACAAATTCTAGACAATGAAGTGCAGGTGTAAATACATAGCAAGTATTTATCGTTGATTTTTTTTATTTTTTTTTTATTTTTTTGTTGAAGATGTCGCACATTTGCTCCATATACGAAAACCATCCGGTAACTCAGTTTTGGCTATTATAAAGTCTTATCTTACTTCCTTGCGCCCCATGCGCTGCAGCAGCTGGTTTATTGTTTTTATTACCCATAGGAGTGGGGGCAGCTGAACTCCCCTCTATGGGGTGCTCCTTTTAACTGCCCACCGAGCCACGGTACCCTTTATCCCGAACTTAAAATCCTGTCTACAGCATGCAATTAAGAAAAGTAATTAAAAATCGTTCGTTTGCCATGATCAAAAAAATTTCCAATTTTATTATGCTTTTATGTTCCAACTACAAATTTCTATGCGTTAATAGATTTTTATGGACATTGACTGTAAACTTTATGCGAAAGTTCGTGAAACCAAAAAATGTTATTCTATTTCGCTATTTTTAATTGATGCATATATGTAACTACTACAAATGAATATCGATAACAAATTAATAAAAATCAAATTTTCTGTTTAATTACGCATAGATATGAATTCATATTCGTATTAATAAACAAATAGGACAAAACCACAAACTATTTTCCCGCGATGCGATTGGCATTTCATTTATAAAACTGAATAAATATTTCAAGCATTTACATTCATTTTAATTATTTTGAGTGTGCAAACATATGTGTATATTTATATAATTGTAATTAGAATTTTTAAATTTATTTTTCTAGTGATTGTTCATGGTCGCTATTTAGAAGACTTGTACACGATGATTCTCACGGTCGCATACCAATATATTTCCATTCGACATAATACCAACACCTTCGAGTCCTTTGAATTCTGAACGTCCAGAACCCCATGAACCGAAAGCCTTCAAGAATGTGCCGTCCGGATTGAAAATCTGTATCCGATTATTACCAGCATCGGCAATAACAATATATCCTTGATCATCCACAGCAATGCCCCTAAAAAAGATGAGAGGAAAAACATATTAAATACATATATATGTACATACATACATACATATTGTTTAATGATTCACGAAACCTAATCGCACCACCCGTATGAACATTTCGTGGTTATCATACAGTTACATGCGCTCAGTAATTACGTGAGTGCAAGGTTTATATACAGGGTGTCCCAGAAGTAACGTGCCAAACTTTAGGGGAAGGTAGGTGGGGGGGTGAGCTCACGGATAAACAAAAAAATTTCAGGTAAAAGTGTCAGCCGTTTTGTGTGTTTTGTGGCTTTTCGGCATGAAGGCGTGAAAGTAAAAAATCGCCCTGAGACGATATGCGCAGAGAGAGGCAATCTTTATTTCGCGGATGCGCGACCTTCTATGTATAGATCTTGACGTGAGTGTGCTATTGCACACAACCTGAGCCCGAAGAATGCCGCACAACTTCCAATAAAGTATAAAGGCATGACTTCACCCTCCGGACAAGAGTACAGATCTTGCCCCTATACAATAATTCTAAGCAAATGTGAAAGAGCCAAAATTTTATTGGCATCTTAAACGACACGAGACCCACCGTGCGTGCCCACCTTGCATCTTACCGACCGAGTGATCTGTCGTCAATCGGACCGCAGATGAACACGAAAGGACCCGAACACAGCAACCAACCTATATACTCTGCCATGAAGCGTTTAAGTGGTAGACTTCGGAAAATTTTGAATACACCTTGCTTCAAACTTAACTGCAATTAAGAACTTCTGCATTGATTGTGACATTAGCACAGACATATGTTCCGCCTTTAAGCTCTAATAATATTTTATCAACCAAAATATTCTTATTTTTTCTTACCGTGGGAACTTTAGTTGTCCGTCATCAGAGCCCTCGGAACCGATTGTTTTCAAAACTTTTCCATTGACGTCGAAAATCTGCGAATTAAAATTTAATTAAATGTCAAATTATACCTTCTAATCAGTACCTGAAGAATTTTTATGAGAGTATGTATTAAAAAAAAAAAACATCTATTAATTGCGTTTCCCCTACTATGATAAAATTTATTTATCGAAAGAAACCGCAGCATCGATGCCTATGAATTTCTCTATATACATACATAGATATCGATGTGCAAAATTTGTATTCATATATTTTACTTCTTTTAGTTCTGTAGTGTTCGCGGTCTCCCTTGCTTTCCTTTATCACTCATTTTGAAGGATTTTTTTTCACCGGCGTGTTGCCGTCTATGCGCAAAATTGTTATTATAAAGCTCGTAAAGTTCGTAATCCCATCTTCTTCGGTACCCGTCGCCCACGCGAATGATATAATATATCCTACGTTGAAAGTTCTCTCGAACTTCTACTAATCCTTAAGAAGTCACTCCTATCTTAGGCTGTTCAGAAAAACATCTATTGGATTATATCTGGCTCTTTTAAGCATCCTCCCATGTTCCTAGGAGCTCTGCCGTGTACTACTACGGATACAGGACGCGTTGGGCTCCACATTTTGCGATGATAAGGCAACATTCTTTGTAGAAACGAAATCGCCATTAGTTAACTGTTATACGTAGCCCAATATGAGGCAAACCCTTTGTGTGTTGCCAGAAGGTACTCTGTTCAACCATTTTTGCTCAAAAAATCCAATCGATAAGATGCAATTAGTTGGTTTACTACGAAACTAAGTCTTTCATACAATATCGTTGATAGCGTCATATAATTAATGTTGGGAAGTCTTATCCCACTGTAATTGTCTCAGCAGGATCTGCCTTCTTTCGAATTTAGCAACGTAAACTGAAATTCTGATTTCGCGGCATGTACTTATTCATCAAATTATGTGCCCTATGAGCTCTTTGCCGCCGGCTTTGAAGAGCTTAGCCGATACTCCTTCGAGAGGTTTTGTTGTTCTTAAGTCTCATTTTTGCTACGGAAATGATGTCGAACAGAAATGAGAAGGCTTTTTAGCTATAGCTTTGATTCAAAAGAACAATTATTTATCCAAATGCATAAAAATAAAACTTGGTGAAGTCCTAAGTAGGAGTGCTGCTACTCCGGGATAAAATATATTTCCACCAAGGCTGTCGAAAATCAAAATGGTAGGAAGCAGAATTACTTGAACGCGCTTGCTGTTAATTACTGGTGGCACTTCTTAAAGGAGAGAGGTAATTAGAAAAATACATTTCCAATGACCCAAACCTACAAACAAGATTAGGGACATTTTACACTAAACAAATTTATATTTTTTTAAAAACACTTTTCACTCTTAGCTAGCGATATGTTTTTTATGTAAAAAGTTAAGTTTCTCTTAATACTTGAATTAAATATTTCCTCACCTGAATTCGATGATTATTGGAATCGGATACAATAACACGATTCGTATTCGAAACAGCGATGTAGTGTGGATGTTCTAGTTCTCCTTCCAAGGGACCGAGTTTTCCAAATTTACCAACGAAGGTGCCGTCAGATTGAAACACCTGTAAGAAGAAAGTTGTTTAGAGTGGAGGCAATGGCTGTATGACGTCGGTTACGTATACGCCACGTCGTATAGTAGAAAAAAGCATTAGTATGTAGATGTATGTATGTATGTATGTATGTACGCACTACCCAGCAGTATTTGAGGTAAGAGACTGCAAATTCACTATAATATTTAGTACGAAAAAGCCAGTGCAGCAATCAATGCCTTCAACAATCAGTAGAAAATAAGAGCTGTTTTCCAACTGGGAAATACACTTCGGTAGTTATGTAACACTTTCGTACCGCTTAGAGATACGAAATTAATGTAAAATCCAGCAAATTTTAAATGTTGAGAAGGGAGTGAAAGATTAACAAAAGTACACATATGTGTGTATGCATTTGTGCTGCTACAATTGTATGTACATTAGGGCGGGTCAATTAGTATGGGAGATTTTTTCGAATATGCGCGTAGAGCACAGAAAAATTCTACATGTATTTCTAAGCAAATCTGGCGAAGAAACCATGGGTCTAAAATCAATTTGGAGTTTGCCAAATTTCGAAAATAGATTTCTTGGCATTTTGCTGTAGTGCCATGAAGAAGTGCCTCAATTTGAGTAAAAACATGCTCCATGTAGTTGTTCGTTATGGGGAATCCATTTCTGCACTTATCTTTTTCATAAAACTTCCACCAGAGGGCGCAACATTGAAACTTTTTACATTTCCTTCCAAACCTATTTTCGCGATTTGGCAAACTCAAAATTGATTTTAGTAAAAAAATATTGACCCACCCCAAATGTATATAAATACGTATACTTTGCAAAAATTTGCAAAGAAATGAAAAAATAAGAGAAAAACCACAGATATTTTACTCATTGCTTCCTTTTGTAATCCCTACTTTTCATTGCTGCTGTAGCCATTGATAACCGTAGCAGGCCATCTTTTACTTTATTCGATTGCCTACTGAAAGGATTGATTGGCAGCGATTGAATTGGCATAGCCAAATGGACTGTCAAGTAAGAAACCAAACGACCATCCTACCAATCAAAGGAAAAAGGCAGGCTGCAATGATGTGTAACAAGAAGACAGTTGCAGTGATTAATTGCAAATATTTACATATACACAATACAATTGGAAATTGTATGAGTAAGAGTGTGAAAGCATAGACTTTGATATTAATTTTAAATCTTCGGATTTCGCTCGAAATTTAATAAAATGTAATTATTTTTTTTCAATTACTATTATTTCAATTCAGATAAACTGTGTTAACCCACATAAACGTAAAAGCGTTTGTAAGAGTATTTTATGGAAATTCGTTGAAATCTCAAATTTTTCATTTGTATGCATAGGTGCGTACGTATGTGTGTATACTCGTATGTTGGCATTAAGTGTTTACTTAAATATTTACTTAAGCCTGTACAAATAGATTGTACAAATATGTACGCAAGCAATAAGCCTATTTACTCACCTGCACACGATGGTTTTCTTTGTCACAAACATAAATGAAACCCAATGAATCGGTTGCTATGCCCCAGGGATAATTGAATTTGCCATCGGTGGTACCTTGTGAGCCAAATGCGCGCAAAAAGCGTCCTTGTGGATCGAGTACTTGTATGCGATGATTATATCTAAAAAGAAAAAAACAACAACAACAAAGAAATTATACACATATGAAGAATTCAATATATAAATCTGACCAAAATATTTTTTTTATAATTATAGACTTAAAAACTGTAAGCAGCTTACTTGGGTGGTCGTTTAGGTATGTATTGTGCTGTATCAAAGAAAAATCTTATAATTGTTTGTTTTTATTTAGCTATAGCTACAGGCAAGGGGTGGGTGAGCCCATCTTTGATCTGCTTATTTGTTTACTAACTTAAGCACTTAAATTTAACAATAGAGTATATTGGGGCATCTGGCAATTCACTCACAGTGACCCAACTATACTCAATTCCTACTCTTACACCCGCTCTCCTGGGCAACGTGAGAAGCCCATGTGCGACATACGGCCACTAATTCGAGTAAAACTAATCTGACCGAACATTTAAGGGCCCACCAAAGACTGAAGCGTCTGCTTACCTTCAGATGCGGCTGCAAGTAAGTGCCTGTCTCGGAACAAACGGCTCGCTTTGTTAATGTACCCTTACCATTTCCAAGCCACATAATTTGACTGTACGCAAGGTTTGAGACGAGCCACTTAAATTCCCTCTCCGAGAAGGTGCCTCGCACCGGCCGGTTAATATCCCAACTAGAACAAATGCAAACCTCACATCCACCGAAGAGATGCAATGGACGGGGCAAGATAAGAAGGCAATAAATACTTGCGACGTCCACTGCAGCAGAGAAGTAGAGAAGCGTAAAAACTCGTTGGCAAATTTGTAGTGGAAGAAAGCCTTCGTCGCCAATTACTGCCGCTCACTCCAGTGAACTTTGCTACGTGTTAGTAACTTTGCAGCAGATATTGTAAAATAAATATTTTAAGGTTTTTAGACCCTTAGTCTGAAAGTTACCATATGAAATCCGGAGTTACCAAAAAGAATAAAAGTCGCCAATTTTTTTAAGATTCTACCAAAGTGGCAACCGTGACCGAGCCGGCAACAGAGAGAAAAGAGATTTTTTATAATGTATATTTAATTAGAAATGTTAAAATATAGTTAATAAAAAATGTATAACAATTTAGCACATTAATTTTTCTCTAAAAAAAAGGAGGAGGTTATCAATTCGTCGGAATGTTTTTTTTTTCTTTTGGTATATTACCGCATAAACTTTTATACAAGATATGTGTATGATATATTTAAATATGAGTATCCAGTGAAGGAGTTTTATAAAAGCTTTAGTTTGCAAATGCATTTGATTAGGGTTGCCACTTATTCGAAAATTCCTATCTATGTAACTGTGTGTATATATAATACGCGAAGGCATTTTTTGTGAAGGTCAACAGATCTGCACCGTTCGTTCAAATTTCCTAAAATTAATGTAAAATTAAAGAGCTTGACCCGCAGATATGAAATAACGTTTTCGTTTTTGAAGTTAGAACTCTTTTTGTCGGTAGAAGGTGATTTGAAACTAGAGAAACCGAACCATGCGAGACTTTTGTCCACTGAGGAGCGGCAGGGCGGATTTTGATGAAATTTGGCAGACGGATCGCTAATAATATATTATTTTTTTAGGTTTTTGAATAGGGCTGCCACCTCTTTAAAATTTAAAATGCAATTTTGGCATTTTAACGCCATTCTTGTTAACTAGTAATATATCTAGTAATATGGAAAATAGAGGAAGAAGAATTTTCACTTCAGTTGCGCACACACAGTTTTTTCTCGTGAAATTTCACCTTGAAAATAAATACTTTTTATTTGCCATCACACCATTCTTTTCGTATACCTTTATTTGGGTAAAATAAACTTCACATTTTCAGGTAATTTCCATAAGTGATTTTAGTACATATGTATGTACTCGTAACTCATGCCTGCTTGCTTTTAACCGGCTCAACTTTTTGATTTCCGCCGAATCGTAGCACAAGTAACAAATTCAATTAGCCGCCGCCTGGCTTTTAATTACGTGGAAAACAACTGCCATGAAAAGCCATCGCAACAATACTAAAATGCAAATAAATTTTCGAAACCGAAAGTTTTCCTCATTTCCGGCGTAAACGTTGACTGAATTGAAATTAATTTTGTCATTATTATGCCGGATTAAACGACGAAAAGGGAGTTGTTTGCTGCCAACGGCACCAACGGCAAACCGGAATTCCACAACAGTCATTAGCTTTTGCTTTATAACGCGTCTTTTATCCGCTTAACATTTACATTCACACAGCCACAGTGGCGAGCAAAACGGAAATTCTCCCGCAAGGATGCGCGGCTTGGCACATGTGTGCGTGTGTTTGTGTGTGTGTGTGTGTGTGTGTGTGTGTGTGTGTGTGTGTCTTACTGTAGGCGTAACTACTATCTATTTGCCATTTATCTCAGTTAATTAAAAAGTTTCTTTGACGCAAACAACACGCGCGTAAAGAGTATTTTCTGTAAGTCAATATTAACAATCCACATAGCTGCCACGCGAATTTAACCTCACCACTCACCTGTCTGCTATTATGTATTGTCCAATGCGATTAATTGCCACACCGGCCAAGCAATCGAATTCGCCCTCGCGTGCACCAAATTCGCCGAATGATTTAACAAAGATGCCATTCGAATCGAACACCTGTACACGATGATTGGACGAATCTGCCACAACGAAGCTATTGTCCGGGCCGACTGCTACGCCGCGTGGCCATGTAAAGGATCCGGGCTCGCTCCCCCGTCCCCCCAATTGGAACAGCTGCTGCCGTTTGCGCAAGTACAATTGCCTAAGGGAAGTACCTGCTACTCCGGTTATACCGGCTGCTGCTGCTGCTACCGTAGGGGAGGTAGGGGAGCCTAGCCCGTTTTTTGAACCGTCATCATCGGATGAGCCCAGCTCGTTTGCCTGCCGCAACGGCAGCCCCAAACTCAGGCGACGCGACACGTCGCTGGCGTGACTACGGCTCGCACTGCTACTGCTGCTGCCAACGCCAGCGCCAGCGCCATGGCCATGTGACGATGATGGCAAAGCTGAGACGCCGCTACCACTACTGGACGACGGTGTGTCCTTGGCGGTCTTGTTGCCATATTTGTTCTTTAAGTAGCGCGCCCAAGAGCTTAACGCCTCGCCATCTTTGCTGTCCGCTGCGGCGGACGTGCTAGAGCCGGCGGCGCTCACGATGGCGCTGCGTGTCGATGCGGTGCTGCGATCGTTCATGGGTGAATTGTCACGCGATTTCAATGCATGCGAAGAACGGCTGCGAGCCAAATCCGAACCGCCATAGCCAGAATATCTGTGGAGACGAGGAGAGAAGAGAAGTTGTCGTATAATTGCATACATAAAGCATAAAATATTTAGTCGAAGAATTGAAGAAAATATAATTGAACTGAAATACATTGCGATCAATGGAATGACATTCGTAATTGGTATTAAGTTGGTTTGAAATAATAAATTTATATGAATATTGTTGAAAATTCGTGGAGTAAAAACTACTGAAATTTTTATAATCGTTAAGTTATTTTAAAACTGTATTTCACAGATTCATTTAATGCTGTTCTATTTCATGCAACATACATAAAGCCTAATTAGCTGCAAAATACCTAGATTTAATCCACCGCCTGTGCATTGGCAAGTAGTTCAAAAGGGCATTAGCAAGTAGTTGAGATGAAAATATTGATGGCCGTTGTAAAGCTTGTAAGCGATATAGAGCTGGCAAGCGCCGCAGAGTGTTAAGAAGTACGGAGTTGGCGAGCGGTATAGAGCTGATACAACGGACAGCTCTCATCAGAATCAGTGTGGCACTTAAGGACATACCTACTCCGGCTTTTAATGTTTTGCTTAACATGCCTCCCTGCAAGAGTCAATTGCTACTTTGGGACCTCTACTGTACCGACTTCCAAGTAATTCGCTGCTCTATTAACCCGTGGTAGTGCGCTTGCGTAATGCCGAGTCGAACCAGTCAGAAGCAGAATAGCGAAAAAATACCATAATCATGCAAGTAACTACTTTCGTAACTCGTGGTAGTGCAGAAAGAGCCGGTGGTGACTATCGCCTAGGATATTTCCTTGGAAAAGTAATCGCTGAAGTACACGGCAAGCAGTCGATCGGATCCGGAGCGGCTTTTAATGCCTTGGAAACAAAGAAGATGTTGTGTCGACTGCATTTTTTTAAATTGTAGGCAGCTCTCAGAGCAATACTTTTTTTCGGCGGCAAATGAAAAGCCACAACTGGATTCTCTTTCGGAAGAATATAAGGAGAGAGCTACGAGTCATTTTAGGACTGATTATGGGACACATATTTACTATGGAGACGACATATCGAGCTCTAACCGCCAAAAAGTGGTAAGCGAAATTTTTTCCAACATTTTATTTTTTGATGCAGAAATGTATCTAGATGGTCTATGAACTCGGTATGGTGTCATAGATATTATCGCCGACTCACTATGTACATACATTTGTCTTGTTTGGAAGATGAATATTTATCACAGTACAGACCATTTTCTCAGCAGCTGTCTGACCTAGTTGGGAAATTTTTCGCACCTATTGAGAATGGACGCGCAGAATATCTAAATTCTTTTTTCTTCAACGAAGTTGTAAAATTCATTAAAGAGTCTAATCAGTTTGCAGAGCTGTAATGATTTCCCATGACCATCTGTTTTTCTCTTTCCTTTGCAGCCTTTGCTCTGGGCTCCAAGTACAATGGGTAACTTAACTTATGAGTGCTTGGAAAATTAACTTCGGGGTAACTGTGAGTTTTCAGGTGTACACTGAAAATTGTGTACACTTTCTCATTTTGCGATTCAGCAAGTATGAGAATGAGCTTTAACTGTCAAAATTGTGTACACTCTCTTCCGAAAAACCGTCGTGAATTTATACTCGGTGTACACTACATTTTCTTGCATTTACAGAATCCAGCGCCAGGTTTCAATGCCAATTATATATATTCGGCAAAAATTTAACTCGCTTGCTTATTGTCGGGGATTTTACATCTATATGATTTTAAATGGGCCTACTTATTTTACTTAGAACAGCATTTAATGAATTTGAAATGCAATTTTTGTAGTTATCGAGGGCTACAAACTCTTTTTTTTTAATTTTGCTTTAAAATAAATTATTTCAGTGCTTAAAGCTTGAGATGCCACTTTTCATTTCAATTGTTTTTTTTTGTCTAAGTAAATATTTCTTTTCAGCTGGAAAATTTACAAAATACCAATATTTTGCATATTTAACAACATTTTTATTAGACTATTTTAACCCTTCCACGACCATGCGACTATATGCAAAGAAATACAATTTTAAATAGCAGACTACAGTTCAACTCGGATAATTTTACAAATTTTAAATTAAAAATTTTGTAATTTTGAATAAGTTATACAAGGGTATTTATGAACCAGTTCTATAGCTAAAAAGTTACAAATAAATAGAAACCACTAAAGTCTAACGCAAAATTTTTGGTAAGTAAATTAATGTTTGCTACAACTGTGTTACTTGGTCGTCAAAGGGTTAATGGTCAAATTTTTCTTTTACATTCAATATTAATATTATTTAAATTTCGCTAAAAAATATTAAAGATCTTATTGCTTAGCTGCTTGCTCGTGTTAATTCAACAAATGTGGCAACAACTAACTTAGGAAAAAAAAAAACGTTTGACTAAATCCAATTACAGCACAAATAAGGAAGAACAAAGTAAGTTTTGAATTAGTGTGAATTTAACATAAGAGTTGGTTTGCTTGCTTTAGTTCAATTTGTTTTAACAAAAACAACAAAAAAACAAAAACATATGAAAGAAGGAGGAGCGAGCGATGAGCACTGAACTATTTAGAAATATGTAGATGAGAAAATAACGAAAATAAATGAGAAGAGAAGGAGAGAGCATAACGCGCAGCAAACACACTTGAAAAGCGCAAAATTAAATAAATTTGATACTCAATTACGTATTTACAAAGCGCCATGGAATAAAAATATTTCGCGCTGTATTAGAATTTTGTGATCCGATCAGTTTTTTTTGTTTTCAATTGCTTTCTCTCCATTTCCAAATTTTCTTAATTAAGCATTTAGCGACTATAAAAATGTAAATCTTTTTTTTCTTTAGAAAAATTAAAAACATCCATATATACGATTATTTAGTATGTTTTTAAAAATATGTATGTACGTTTCTTTTTGTAAAACATTGATGTTTCTTTCACTTTTTTTGTTCTCGCACCTTGAAGCCAAGTAAGCAGATGGCGATGCCGTTGTGGGCGATACGGGCTCATCCAAATCGTCGTCGTCATTGCCGAGCGCATGTGACGAGCGACTGCGCGCCAAGCGGCTGCGTCGCTCCTTCATTGCCAAATAGCGCGAACGTCCGGTGCCATAGCGTGAGTCCGAATCGTCGCCAGTGCCGTTGGCATCCTCATCGAAGGAGGCGGTGGGCGTGGAGAGCGATGGCTGTGATACAATTGCGCTGCTTTTGCTTTTATTTAGAAAGCGGCTTGTGTAGCTGGAAAATTTCGTTTTACATAATTTGATTCGTTTCATTTTTCGATGCAATTCGAATGCTTTGTTTTATGTAAACTTATGAATTTAAATTTTTGAGTTTCTTTTTTTTTAATGAAATGCTAGCATAAATTTAAGTGAAAGTTTCAAAGAATTTTTTATACCTTTTTTTTGTTACAAAATCAAATAAATTTGCAGATGATATCGTTAAATGTTGGAAATTATTCCAAGAAGAAAAACAAGCGAGGAGTTCAGCTAACAACATGGAAGGGAAAGTATTAGTAAAGCGATAACATATTTGTAATTTGGTTAAAACACTTACATCTATGCATATAATGTATTGTGATTAAGAATTACCTACTGGTGCACATACTTAGTTATACTAAACATTTAAATATTTAGGCTGAGTTTTAAATATTTTAAAGTTTTTATATAATAAAAGTTTCATGCAATCAACTGTTCATATTTTTTCATTTTCGAATAAAAATATTTTCGTCCATTTTAGAAGTCTAGAACGAGCTGAAGTTCGAAGATCATTTAGGGTTTGAAAGAGGCACTTCCGAGAAAAAGGTTTCAAACAGAGGTTACATATTTTTATCCTCATAATCCGTATCAGTAGTAAAAACATGTATGTCTTGTATAAAAATATGGATTTTCGGTAATCTATTTTTACTTATTTTGAATTGTAAGATTTTAACCCAGTTCAAATAGTTCACATCGCCCCCTAGTACCAAGAGTATGTATCTACGCCACTGCCTTTCGCATACACCAGCCATCATTCGGGCTCTCTTCAATTGGGCGATCGCCTCAAAGCTTGTGAATGTATGGTTTGATGTTCTCAAAATTGTGACGGCGAAAAATGCTTTAATAGTGCTGGGTAAATACCAGGCCGCTCTGGTATTAAGTAGTGTGACCAGGTTACATTTTTGAGGCTAGATTTAGTATTTAGTTTTATGTCATTGCACATATTCATAATTTAACTCGGACCGGAACTGAACTTATAGAAGCAACTCAAGTAGCACACTGGTAGATAACCTGGTGTAAATTTACGAATTTTGGTATAAACTTGTTTAATTGTACCAAAATTCACAAATAATCATCAAGTTGTACACTAGTGTGCTACTTGAGAAGTACGTAATGATCATACCAAAAATCCCCAATTCAAAAATTACCATTTACCGTTCAAAAATAACAATGGCTATGCAAGGTACCAGTTCTTTGAGAAAAGCATTTTTTCGCTTTTTTTAGGTTTCCAAAAAAAAAGGTATTTGAATTTATATTTGCGTATACTAACTTTCTAAACTAATACGGCTACATATGTAGAGAGACATCGAGCACAACCTTCAACTCCGTCTAAATTTGGAAGGACCTAATTGCTCCGTTTGAGGCCAAACGAGGTTTCAGACAAGGCGACAATACTATCGTGCGACTTTTCGAAACTAATGCTGGAGAGCGCAATAAGAGCGAACAAAATGCAAGGACCAAGTGCAGAAGTACCTGTCTGCATTAAGTATGAGTACGATGGCGAAAAAGAAGAAACTTTGTCCATATTTATTTTTACAAAATTACCGCAGTTTTCTTATCTTTAAAGCTAAACAGACGGCAGCGTTGATCCGGATTAACTCGGACTTAATCCGGATCAACTGCAGTTAATTCCCGAGTTAATCTGGATCAACGCTGCTGTCCGTTTATGCTTTTACCGAACTTCGTTTTAAATACCTGATAGACGATTTTTGAGGAGAAGGATTTAAAGAAAATTGCTCTGGCTGAACTTGTCGTATTGTTGAACAGCTTTTTAATTATGTACTCACTGGCTTCTTTTTAATTTAATTTTTTATATAATACATATAACTTTTTCCGAGCATTTTTCAAAATCAATTTAGCTTCGTTTTTCTGTGATTATCTGGTTACACTGGCATTGAGGGATGCCGTGCAACCATCTTTGTAGGATCGGAGGCATTTTGTGTATTATAGAAAGCATTGGGCCTTATGCATAAAAAGTGAGCTTAAGCTCAGACTCAATTTTTGCACTGAAAGGATGAGCTCAAGCTCAAGAATTTGTACTGAAAATCGAGTCGGAGCTTAAGCTCACTTTTTATGCATGAGGCCCATTGTGTTTAGATGGTCTTCTTAGCAGTAAGTACTCGTGATCTTCCACCAGCCGCCGCGTTAATATGGATCGACTAGTTAATTGGGAATTAACTGCAGTTCATCCGGATTATTTCCTGCAGCTAATCCTTAAATATAAAGAGGATCAGGGGAATTTTCGATGACAACACTGCACAAAACGGCCAGCTTTTGTCTATGCCTCAATTAAGCCAGAAAAACAGGCGGTTTTTGCATCCGCTGTGGCGCAGTGGTGAGTGCTGCGTACTACAATTTCGTAGCGCCCAGGATCGATTGTCGGTTCCAGAGATTGCTAAAAATTTTCTTATATTTGTATTTTTAAATTGTTTATCTAATTTGATTTATATATTTTATTTTAATTTACTTTGTTTTCGTTTTTCTTTATTTTATTTCACATTACTTATTTTATTATTAGTTAATCTAAATTCTTAGAGTTAAATTTTAAAACTAAAAATGTCAACAACTAGTCAAAGACAACATTAAATAAATATATTAGTTATAATTGAATGAAAAACAAATTTAAGAAAATTTTTCTGGTAGTGGAACTCGAACCCACGACCTCGCGTCCTATTAATCCGCATTACTGTCGCCGTTAATTCGGATCAACGTTCCCGTCTGTTTATGCTTTTAGGCCGACCAGAACTTTAGTTATCCTTTCGCTATGAAAGACACATATATATTTTAAATAGCGCTTAAAGCAGTTTATTCACTGATTTGGTTGGAACATCACAGTCTACGCTCTTCAAATAAGGGATTTCTGAACTCAGCTTGGAATTTGTTATTTTTTCGCAGCACTATTTTTTTTTTTATAATTTTGTTTTTTTTTCTTGGTTAGCTAACTCAACTTATAGCCAGTTTCACCAGCAATTTAAGTGGAAAATGAATTTTTGTTTTCTGTCAGTTTCCATTTAAAATTTCAAACATTAAAATAATTTTTCACTTAAATTGCTTTCGTTAAATTGGCTGTTGATGTTTCAGAAGTTTTAATGACTCAATAAACAATTATGTTTCAGCACAAGGAAAACTTAATTTTTTTTTTCATTTCCACTTAATCACAATACCCCATCCAAGGAGATCCAATCAATATTTACAATCAACCCTTTTTTAACCAACTTCCAAAAAAGGAGGAGGTTATCAGTTCGTCGGAATATTTTTTTTTTTTTTGGTTTTTATGTATGTTACCGCATAACTTTGGATCACGTCAACCGATTTCGATAATTCTTTTTGCATCGGAAAGGTAGTGTCTCAGAGGTGGTCCCATACTAATCTGGTTAATATCCGATCAGCGGATAATGAGATATATATATATATATTTTTTTTTATATGAGAGTTGAAGTCGGTTTTTTTTTTTGCTAAAAATTACTTGTTTAATTGTTAGTACAACACTTGTATCAAACCGCATGCCACATTACATACATACATTTTATCACATCAGCTTCCATTGGTTTAGGCTGAATGGTTTAAACATTCATTAAACTTAATCTTGAAAGCATGCTTAGCATGTCTTTGACCGATTTTCATACATGCATAAAATTTCACAATATTTTATAGTAAAATAGTTAAATGTCTGCAATGGGGTATAGTCATTGCGCTGGGTATGCAGTTACAGTTGCATGGCTATACTCAATCCCGACTCTTGCGTCCTCGTTCGCGCACTCTGGGCAACGTGAGCAACCCATGTGCGAGATGCGGTAACCAATCNTAAATGTCTCCTAAATTTTTAAAGCGGAAAGAAATAGCATTTCTTTGATACAAAAATCGGCCAAGAAATGGCTAAGCTATTGAACACTAAAAAAAGAGCTTTTAATACGCCGGTCTTTTAGTGCTAATACAAGCAACTTTACAGTGTTTGGTGTTTTGAGCTACATACTTATATATACTTACATAGTACAAATATATAGGTGTACATATGTACATACACTTTCTCGTTTTAATGTTTTGCTATGTTTAACACGTTCGGTGCATAAAATTGACTTAAGTATAGATGAAAGTAGGCATTCAGCTGCAACCCGAGTAGGAAAAGCTCATTTTAGCAAACTATGTTTATTATAAGTATACATGTACTCCTGTGTAAATTTTCTGAATGCGTCTACTATGTGCGTATAAGCGGCATTCAAGGTGTGCACACATACATATGTATGTATGTATGTAGTCTTCTACAAACAAACAATTCTATTTTGTATGCTGTGCTCAAATTTCACACTTTAGCACGTTTTGTTTGTGTCAAAAGTTGGAGAAAATGTTAATCCTTGTTTGTATACATACATCGTTTTTCTTACTTTTTTTTTTTTTGTTTGCCGTGACGACTTAAGCCAAAGGCTAAGCCAGGAATTTACTCAGAGCAGCGAAGCAAACAAAGAACTTAGCAAGTACAAAGAACTAATTGAATAAACTCGCAGTTAAATGGAATATTTCTTCTAACATTTTTTTTTTTTGCTATTGTACTTTAATTGGTTTACTTAGACTTTGGGCAAAAATTTACTTAATGTCGCAACAATTACCACCAAAGCCAACTAATAAACGCACAATATTTGTGTAGAAACGTGACCGAAACCTAAGTAGATATTTGATTGTGCCTGCCTACACAGTAAAATCTACGTGCGTAAATTCGACTTAAGATAAGCAAAGGTAAGCAAAAAGGTAAGCATATTACAAGTATCCAGCGAAAGTATCAAATCTGCTATGAAATCTTAGTAAATATATTTCGAAGTAATTTCACGGTGGACTGTTAACTAGAAAATAAATCAGGCGTATTTGAGGTGTAATATAAAAAGTACGATTAGAAAATGTTTATGGATGAAAATGACAGTACATTTACAAACATATCTACATATGCATGAGTATGTGTGTATGTACAATAGTGCAGCGAGGATATGA